TTCCACTGAAACCAATGATGGGGCACATTTCCTCCCACTGACACCAATGATGGGGCACTATTTCCCCCTGACACCAATGGATGGGACACTATTCCTCCCACTGACACCAATGATGGAGCACTATTCCTCCCACTGACACCAATGATGGGGCACTATTTCCTCCCACTGACACCAATGATGGGGCACTATTCCTCCCACTGACACCAATGATGGGATACTATTCCTCCCACTGACACCAATGATGGGGCACATATTCCTCCCACTGACACCAATGATGGGGGCACTATTCCTCCCCACTGACACCAATGATGGAGGGCACTATTCCTCCACTGACACCAATGATGGGGCACTGTTCCTCCACTGACACCAATGATGGGGCACTATTCCTTCCACTGAAACCAATGATTGGGGCACATTTCCTCCCACTGACACCAATGATGGGGCACTATTCCTCCCACTGACATCCAATGATGGGACACTATTCCTCCCACTGACACCAATGATGGGGCACTATTCCTCCCACTGATACCAATGATGGGGCACTATTCCTCCCACTGACACCAATGATGGGGGCACTATTCCTCTCACTGATACCAATGATGGGGCACTATTCCTCCCACTGATACCAATGATGGGGGCACTATTCCTCCCACTGATACCAATGATGGGGCACTATTCCTCCCACTGACACCAATGATGGGGCACTATTCCCCCCACTGACACCAATGATGGGGCACTATTCCTCCCACTGACACCAATGATGGGGCACTATTTCTCCCACTGACAGCAATGATGGGGCACTATTCCTCCTCCCACTGACACCAATGATGGAGCACTATTCATCCCACTGACACCAATGATGGGGCACTATTCCTCCCACTGAAACCAATGATGGGGCACTATTCCTCCCACTGAAACCAATGATGGGGCACTATTCCTCCCACTGACACCAATGATGGGGCACTATTCCTCCCACTGATACCAATGATGGGGGCACTATTCATCTCACTGACACCAATGATGGGGCACTATTCCTCCCACTGACACCAATGATGGGGCACTATTCCTCCCACTGACACCAATGATGGGACACTATTCCTCCCACTGACATCAATGATGGGGCACTATTCCTCCCACTGACACCAATGATCGGGCACTATTCCTCCCACTGACACCAATGATGGGGCACTATTCCTCCCACTGACACCAATGACGGGGCACTATTCCTCCCACTGACACCAATGATGGGGCACTATTCATCCCATGGCAGTAAGCTATGACATATGGTTTACTCCCACTGGCCACAGTCTGGACCCCCTAAAGCCTGAAGGACAGTAAAATGGCCCTTTGCTTAGAACGTTGGAAGACCCTGATCTAGATCTTCTATGAGGGGTTACGGCTGTGTTAGCTGAAGATGAGATTTTCCTACCAAGAAATCGTCTACAGTATAGAGTGCGCCCAGACCACCAATCAGGAGGGTTCGGCTTGCCTGTGGTAAGTCCACGACCAAAAACAAAGGGGATGTAGCTCAGTGGCAGAGCGCATGCGTTGCACGTGTGAGGCCCCGGGTTCAAGTCCCGGCATCTCCAAGCCTACCTTTAACCAGTTCCTGACCGCCCCATGCAGACATACTGATGATGGAGGGAGCCCGCTGTGCGCTGGATCACATATCGGATTCCTGATCAGCGCCTCCGAGTAGGGCGAGCCCGCCAACCTAGCTGTGCTGTGATTCGTTACAGCACAAGCCGATCAGCGGGTCCCGGCCAATGACTGATCGGCTCAGGGATTCACAGAACAGAGCTCTGCACAGTGACAGGCCAACTTGCTGCTTTTTTATTCCCTGCTAAACAGGAAAAATACAAGATCCCTTCGTAAAAGCAGCACATATCACACACCAACACTTGTTAGGCACACAGTTAACCCCTTGATTTCCCCTAGATGTTAACCCCTTCCCAGCCAGTGTCATTAGTACATTATTACAGCGATCAGTGCTAATAATATACACTGTCAGTGTCACTATTTATGTCAGTATCAGTTAGTATACCCCCCACCCAACGTCAGATTCCCCGCCACACTATCACAGTCTCACTAGTAGTCACTGATCAGAACCATTACCAGTATAAATTAAAAAATAAAAGTTCCAGTATATACCCCATAGTTTGTAGACGCTAAAACTTGACACAAATCAATCAATATACACTTATTGGGATTTTTTTTTTACTAAAAATATGCAGCAAAAACACATTTTAGGCTCAATTACAGAAGAAATTTGATTTTTTTTTTCCCTTTTTATTGGAGGTTTTATTGCAGAAATTAAAAAATATTCTTTTTAATTTCCCAAATATATGGGGTTTTTTTTCTGTTTGTTTTTTTGTTTATATAATAAAAAAAAATAAAGAACCCAGTGGTGGTCAGATACCATGATAATAACTGTGATTGCCGAATCCTCACCGGACTTTCCCATTATACCCGGTGTGTGTTACATCATGTGATGTGTGATGTCATTATCCTGCGATACCCAAAGCTCCGGGCCGGATCTCTGGAGGTACCTGACGTGACTTAACTCCCTACATGCCAGACTACAACACGGGCACTGGGGATACAGCCGCTGTGAAATCCTGTATTCCAGGGATCGGCACTAGTAATAATGATGACCTGTGTCTGTGTCCCCGCTCGGCTGTCCCGGGGCCAAACTTCTGAATCCCGACCATTAACCACTTCCCGTCCGGCCGTTGCAAATAAACGGCCTCCTTGCACCCTGCTTGTGCGTGCTCCCTGGGAACGCGCAGCACCGCGATCCGGTGCCCGCTGTATCCTCCAGACACAGTGGAACACCGATCATCATACGGGACCTTTGGCCAATCAGTGATCACATGCAGAGTAGTAAACAAGATGTCAATTCTGACATCATTGCTTACTACATGTGAAATCTGTGAATGATCATAGAGGTCACATGGTACAGGGCTATTCACAACAGCCTTGTACCATGTGACAAGCTGTAACCAATCACAGCTCTCACAGTATTTCTCAATGGCTGCAGGAATGCAGCCAGAGAGAAGGAGCAATTATTACTTTTACAGCCTTTATGGGTGTAAAAGCAATCAGTGTAAAAAAAAAAAAAAAGTCATCGCCCCCCACAAGTAGTACAGTGTCACCATGTTGACATTGTACTGCTAGGTGATGGTATGTAAAAAAAAAAATAAATAATATATAAAAAAAAAGTTTAAAAATTATAATTTTTGGTTATAAACTACCGTACTTTTCGCTCCATAAGACGCACTTTTTTCCCCAGAAAATATGGGGGGAAATGTCTGTGCGTCGTATGGAGCGAATACTGACAGTCCTCCACCTGTCACCGCCGCCAGTGTTAGGACCAGCGGCTGTCCCGTCCCATTGCACCCTGTCACTGATGTTCTCCCTACCTTATCCCGTCTCTCAGCGGGCTGTCCCCGCAGCTCTTCATAGCAGGCAGTCCCCCGCCGAACCCAGCTGTGGTCCGCCCTGCAGGTGTGGCCTGTCCTCGGAGCTCCTCCCCGCTCCTGGCATGTCTGTGTACTGCTCTCTGTGCTCTGCAGTCCGGTCTACAGGTGTGGCCTGTCCTTACAGCTCCTCCCCTTTCCTGGCATGTGTCCATAGTACGCTCCCTGCTCTGCAGTCCGGTCCTGTCTGCTGGTGTGGCCTGTCCTCAGAGCTCAGTGCGCCCCCTTCTGTAAGTTAAAAATGACATGCTGGGAGTTGTAGTCCTTTCCCTTGATGGTATGGTGTCAGATCATTTGATTTTCTGGGTGGAGGGGCCCTGTTGGGACTTTATATGATGTAGTAAGTCTGCAGTCTCTGGTCATCTCCTGTACCGTGTCGGCAGTCTCTGGTCATCTCCTGTACCGTGTCCGCAGTCTCTGGTCATCTCCTGTACTGTGTCCGCAGTCTCTGGTCATCTGTACTGTGTCCGCAGTCTCTGGTCATCTCCTGTACTGTGTCCGCAGTCTCTGGTCATCTCCTGTACTGTGTCTGCAGTCTCTGGTATCCCCTGTACCGTGTCGGCAGTCTCTGGTCATCTCCTGTACCGTGTCCGCAGTCTCTGGTCATCTCCTGTACTGTGTCCGCAGTCTCTGGTCATCTCCTGTACCGTGTCCGCAGTCTCTGGTCATCTCCTGTACCGTGTCCGCAGTCTCTGGTCATCTCCTGTACCGTGTCCGCAGTCTCTGGTCATCTCCTGTACCGTGTCCGCAGTCTCTGGTCATCTCCTGTACCGTGTCCGCAGTCTCTGGTCATCTCCTGTACCATGTACGCAGTCTCTGGTCATCTCCTGTACTGTGTCGCAGTCTCTGGTCATCTCCTGTACTGTGTCCGCAGTCTCTGGTCATCTGTACTGTGTCCGCAGTCTCCGGTCATCTCCTGTACCGTGTCCGCAGTCTCTGGTCATCTCCTGTACCGTGTCCGCAGTCTCTGGTCATCTCCTGTACCGTGTACGCAGTCTCTGGTCATCTCCTGTACTATGTCCGCAGTCTCTGGTCATCTCCTGTACTGTGTCTGCAGTCTCTGGTCATCCCTGTACTATGTCTGCAGTCTCTGGTCATCTCCTGTACCGTGTCCGCAGTCTCTGGTCATCTCCTGTACTATGTCCGCAGTCTCCGATCATCTCCTGTACTATGTCCGCAGTCTCTGGTCATCTCCTGTGCTGTGTCTGCAGTCTCTGGTCATCCCCTGGACTGTGTCCGCAGTCCCTGGTCATCTCCTGTAGTACGTCCGCAGTCTCTGGTCATCCCCTGGACTGTGTCTGCAGTCTCTGGTCATCTCCTGTACTACCGGACTGGAAGGGGGGGGGGGGGGAAGTGTCCGGACTGGAAGGGGGGGAAAAGTGTCCGGACTGGAAGGGGGGAGGGAAGTGTCCAGACTGGAAGGGGGGGGGGAAGTGTCTGGACTGGAAGGGGGGGGGGGGGGGGGAAGTGTCCGGACTGGAAGGGGGGGAAAGTGTCCGGACTGGAAGGGGGGGGAAGTGTCCGGACTGGAAGGGGGGGAAAGTGTCCGGACTGGAAGGGGGGGAAGTGTCCGGACTGGAAGGGGGGGAAAGTGTCCGGACTGGAAGGGGTTGAAAGTGCCCGGACTGGAATGGGGGGAAAGTGTCCGGACTGGAATGGGGGGAAAGTGTCCGGACTGGAAGGGGGGGAAGTGTCCGGACTGGAAGGGGGGGAAAGCGTCCGGACTGGAAGGGGGGGAAGTGTCCGGACTGGAAGGGGGGGAAGTGTCTGGACTGGAAGGGGGGGAAGTGTCCGGACTGGGCAGGAAGGGGGGGAAGTGTCCGGACTGGAAGGGGGGGAAGTGTCCGGACTGGGGTGACCCACACATCTGTATGGAGGGCAGAGCGATGCTTGAGCTCCTCCTGATCTCCTACACCGGCTTCTACTGTCCTCGGAGCGGGATGTAGATCCCATGAAGATCTGTCCGCTCTGTTAAGAGGAAAAAACAAAAAGTAACGCGGCTGCTTGCCCGCAGGAAGGCTAACTATAGATAAAAGCACCGACCCGGCGCCTGAACTGCCTGTCCCCAGCCGCGGGCCATAGGATTCGCACATCCCTGGTTCTAACCTCTTTAGTGACACCCATTTCATTGAGATGAGATACAAATGACACCAATCAGGAAAGACAGATAGAATGAATTTTATAACATGGTTGGGCTACATATCAATACTACATAATGGAGGATCACCAAATTCAAATGTCAAACACATATCAGAATTCATAAATATTTGGTACAACCTTAGAAAAGTCATTATATAATGAACTGTCTGCTGTCTGCAAAATGAACGATCGCTATAAATGAACGAAGAATACCGATCCCTCCAATATGGTGCAAACACCACAATAATAAAGTGCTTTTAAGGGAAGAAAGTTTTTTGTACCTCAATACATTTTATGCAATAAAGTAGAACCCTTCTGGGAGCAGCTCCCCCCCCCAGCCCACCCTATACTTATGTAGCAGGCTCCTTGTACAAGAGGATTCAGAAGGAATCACATGATCAGCAGTCAGTCCTTCCTCTCCCTCCCCTATTTGTATAATCTGGGCATTCTGCCAAGTTCATGACTCATCCACTCAGCAAAGGACGCTGGGGGGGGAGGGGGAGGAAGCAGGAAGTGAAGGGGGAGAGGGGAGACACGAGGCTGGAGGAAAGACAGGGACACGTGCAGCCCGTCCAGGCAGAGGAGGAGGCACTACAACACCCAGCGCGGATAGAGGGGACCCTGCTGTGTGTTCAGAGTCTGGTGAGCTGTCCCCCTGGAGAGAGTAAGACACACATTTACACTTTGCATATAGACTGGGACATCCGCCCCCCACTGCTGGGATCTCACCCATCCGGGGCCCTGTGCAAGTCACAGATCCCTCTGCCTGCTTCGCCCCTCACCACCAGTGTAATTGAGACTGCCTGCCCCGGGGGACTGACACATGCTGGGAGATTGCATCCTGCGACTGCCCCTGGTCTTGGGGTGCTTTGTGTTGCCTTTAGACACTGAGGTTGGACCCTCTCAGCCCAGAAACCTAGTGAAATCGGATGTAACCCACACCAGCTGAAACTCCAAAGAAGCCTTCAGCTGCTATTTACTTCATTGTAAGGACTAAACGTGCACCAACTAGAGCCCCACCGTTACCAGGACTGAAGTGGGGGGAGTCTGGCTTAGCAGCCTTATTAGAGGTACCTCTTTATTGCATTCTGTTCTGACTCTGAGGTGATTTTTGGCTAACGCCCCTCAGAAGCAGAATCATACCCCGGTGTGGGTAATACATTTCATTGATAGAGTATAAGTCAGTTTATTTGTTTGATATCAGTTGTATTCTGCTTAACCACTTCCCG